TCATGTTCTTAAATTGACAAAAGCGTTTTATGGTTTAAAACAAGCTCGTAGAGCTTGATATGAAAGATTGTCAAATTTTTTAATTGAAAAAGGTTTTTCAAAAGGAAAGGTTGACACTACATTGTTTTTAAAGCATAAAGGTAAAGATTTATTAGTAGTTTAAATTTATGTTGATGATATAATATTTGGTTCTACTAATGATGTTATTTGCCAAGAATTTTCTAAGCTAATGCAAAGTGAATTCGAGATGAGCATGATAGGGGAGCTCTCATTTTTCTTGGGACTCCAAATCAAGTAAAGAAAAGATGTTATCTTCATCAATCAAGATAAATACGTCAAGGATATGCTCAAGAAGTTTGGACTGGGAAATAGGAAACCTCATGACACTCCAATGAGCTTATCTACAAAGCATGACAAAGATGAAGGAAATAAATGTGTGGATGTTAAATTATATAGGTCAATGATTGGCTCTTTGCTTTATTTAACCGCATGTAGATCGAACATTATGTTTAGTGTTTGCTTATGTGCTAGATTTCAATCATGTCCTAAGGAATCACATTTACTAGCTGTTAAGAGAATCTTTAGATACCTTAAGGACACTCCTAGTTTAGGACTTTGGTATCCTAGAGACTCTAGCTTTAGCTTGATGCCTTCTCTGATGCGGATTATGGAGGATGCAAATTAGATAGGAAAAACACCTCCGGTACTTGCCAATTCCTTGGAAATATGATGATTTCTTGTTTTTCAAAGAAACAAAATTGTGTTGCATTATCTACCACTGAAGCGGAATACGTTTCAGCTGATAATTGTTGTGCACAAGTTTTACAGATGAAACAACAACTTTTTTATTATGGAATTGAAGTAGATACCATTCCTATCAAATGTGACAATACTAGTGATATTTGTCTTACTAAAAATCACATCCAACACTCTAGAACTAAGCATATTGAAATTAGACATCACTTCATTAGAGACCATGTCGCTAAGGAAGATGTAGTTCTAGAATTTGTTGATACTTTGCACCAATTAGCAGAGACCTTTACAAAATCTTTAGACAAAGAAAGATTTTGAACACTTAGGAGATAATTAGGTTTAACTGACCTATCTTCACTTAGTGTTTAAATTAATTTTAGCACTTTTAAGAATAAATGAAAAATGATTATAATAATAATAATTTTGATTGCATTTTTTGCTATTAGTTAGGGGGAGTATATGATCTTTGGTGAAAATTAATTATATGTTCAAATGTAGTTTAAGGATAAAATTGATTGATTGAACATGATTAATTTTCAATATATGAGTTGCTAATACCACTAGAGCTAAATTATTTAGCATTTTAAGTGTTTAAAACGGATTTTTGACATTTTTGTGCATAATGCATCGATACACTATGAAGGTGCATCGATGCATCCCTATGAATATGCATCGATACATCATGAAGATGCACCGATGCACGCCTCGAATGTGCATTGATGCACAGAGCCATGCATCGATGCATCCGTCGGGTTTTGGGATAAAATGCTTGTTTTCCTTTATTTTTCTCAAACCCCTAAAACACATCTCAAACCACCGTTCGTCCCTCTCTCACCATATACTCTCTATTTGCCCAAAATCAATGTTTTCAAGTCCGAATCTTCGAGCATTACATCTCCAAATCCTGCTAACATCGTTAAATCGTGCAAAACAACATCTCATTCTCACAAATCCGAATTTTTCAAGGTATTTTTCTAAAAATCCCTATTTTATCAAATTTTGATTTTAGAACTAGTTTAGATTAGTTCTTGGATGAACATTATATCGGACATTGATGAAATTATGATTCTAAACTATATTTCACAATCAATTTCGTCAAAAACAAACAATTTTCAAAATCTTCCTTGAATTTCGAAATTTAAAAAAATTAGTTTCGAAAATTATTGATTTTTTATTTAATTGTGTTGTTTTCATGAAAACTATACGTATTATGATTTTTCAAATAGTTTTTCAAAATCTTGCCCATTAGGATTCGGTTTAGAGAACCTTGAATTATTGCGGACTCAATTGAGTTTTGGGATTGATTATATTGCATACATGTTTTTCAATTTGCAGGTTACCTATCTCATTCCATTCCTTAAACCATGTCCAACCCTAGGTCATATTCGAGTCGTTCTAATCGACCTCCTAATCCTATTCCTCCTCAACCTCCAAATCCAAACGATCCCAATATGACCATTCTAAACTCCTTTTTTAATATGCCTGGTCGTCATAGAGAAGAACTATACCATAGATACATGGATTCTTTCCGAGCATACAAAATCCGGGAAGAACGTATTCCCTCTGTTCAAGCCATGGTAGATATCAACTTTGAATACCTATCGACTCTCAAATCCTGGAAGTTTGATAAACTGTTTCACCTTAAACCAATTGTCTATCATCAGTTGGTCCTTATTTTCTACTCTAATGTGATATGTATCCAAAACGAGCGTCAAATTGAGACTATAGGAATCATATCCTACCTTTTAGAAAAATATATTCATATTGATTCTGAAATGATAGCTAAACAGTTTGAGCTAGATGACAATGGTTTATATAATGAGAAAGAGATTGTGGCATATCTCTATCTTCCTAATGCTAGTGTTAGTACCTTACGTACACATCACGATCGTTTTCTGCATTTAATGATCTCTTGGTGGTTTAGACCATCCGGAGGTAGGTACTCCACTCTTCGTGTTAGGGATTTATGGTGGATGCATTGTATCCAACATAATAGAAAGATAAATTTGCCACAAATCATTTTTAGTGAACTAGTAGATACGATAAATGTTGTCCCCTCTAAATATGTCGAAACTTTAGTTTATGGATGTCTACTTAGTAATCTTTTTATCAAACTCGGTCTTAGAGTTTCTCTTGACAATCTCATCCCTCTCCAGAACCAAATCAATCTCACTTCCTTGAAGAAAGCTGATTGGAAACAGGATGAGGAAGTTGGTCAATGGGACTTTCGACCCAATAAGCAAACTTTGGGAGTCAGTTCTTCACGAGCCCGAGCTTCAACAACTAATGCAAGATATTTACGATCACGTACCCGACGACGAGCCAGAGCAGCATCAAGATCCGACACAACAAGAAATCAAACGCCACCATATTTTCGATCTTTCTTAGAGTCGTTTGATCTGAGGTTTGCATCAATGGAATCTCAGATAAATAAGTTTCAACGGGAGATGCGTGAACGTATAGATGCTCTCACTCTTGAAGTGCGAGCACATTATCCTCCTCCTCTCGACCCTCCGATGGAGTAGATCCTTGCTTGTCATGCTTTCTTGGTTTTAAAACTTGGATTGATAAACATTTTGCTGTTCTTGGATTATTTTTATTTTGGATGATTATTTGTTTGGATATATGTTTTGGATGCTTGGATATTTGAACTTAATGCATATTTGGTGTGTTTGAATTTTTTTAGTTATTGCATCATTTAGCATATGACCAATTCTTACCATTTCACATTTTTTATTATGAATATTGATGGAACTAACGGCTAACCTTTCTCTTGATTGTGATCTTAGCAGCTTAAGCTTTAAATTTCTAAAAATCAATTGGCTAATTTTTCAATATCTTGTTTAAAAACGTTTTAGAGTCTTTTTTATTTAACAAAAAGGGGGAAAAGTGTTAAGTGTTAAGGGGGAGAAGTGGTAAAGTAAGTGGGAGTAATTTCAAAAGTTTTGAACTTTATTTCAAAAATCTTAAAATTACTTAAATGTTTTGTTTTATCAAAAAGGGGAAGATTGTTGAAAACATTTTGATGTTTCGATATAACAAATTAAGTTAAATGAATTTTAAGATTTTACAAAAGATTTTCTAAAATATATTCGATATATTTATTCGAATATCAAAATATTACTCCAAGTCTTTCAAAGTTCAATTTCAATCCTTACTAAAGTGTAAAGTTGTGTTTTAATCTTAAAATGTTTTTGAAATAATTTTCACAAAGTATTTCGAACAAAAAACGAACCAATAATTCAATTTTCAAAGAGATGTACCGATGCACTAGTCCATGCATCGATGCACTCTCAATTAAATTGAATTTCGAATGCATTTAGTGTACCGATGCACTCTCCATGCATCGATGCACCCTTGAACAAATAGAAACATCGAATGCATTTAATGCACTGATGCACAAGCTATGCATCGATGTACTCAATCTATTTTAAAACACCGAATGTATTTTATACATCGATGCACCCTCAATGTACCGATGCACTAAGTCTTCTAACGGTCGAAATATTTAAATTTTACACATAGTGTACCGATGCACTAGCCCTATGCATCGATGCACCATACGCTCTCACCTATTTTATTAATTGTTTTCACACTTAAACGACTCTATTGACTCCGCTAATCATCCTCAACGTTCAAAATCAATTAAAGGAATATTTAAACAAGCATAGAAGTCATTGATCAATAACAAGAAACAACCAACAACAAGAATCAAGAGAGAATCAAAGAGAAAGCATCAAACTTCAAATTTTAGCATTTTCAAGCCTATTTTATTCAATATTCATTTTTGCTTTCAAGAACACTTATTGTGCTCAATTGTATTATTTTTTAGTGTTTTTTCTTTGTTCTAGAATTGTGCAAACACATTTGCCTTGTGAGGTTTTTCATTAAGTTTGTGAATTTGTAATCTTCTCTTTAAGAAATAATGTTCTCAAGAATTGGTGTATATTCTTTTGGGAGTTGTAAGGTTATCTCTTTGGCCTCAAAAGAAAGAACAAATTAGTGAATTTGTTGGAAAATTCTTACTGTGGATAGTTAAAGTAGTGGACATAGACTTTGGTTGAGAAAGTCGAACCACTCTAAATCACTGTGCAAATTACTTTCAATTTTCTGCAAAAACTTCCACCAAATTTTTAATTGCAAATTCACCCCTTCTTGGCCGATTCCATCGATCAATTAACTCAACACTTTTGTTTGTACATATTGAATCTTACCAACACTTTCTCAATGTATCTCTCTTATGATAGTCATAACAGTCTCTTTGATCTAACACGAGTTATTCGCATCCCAAGGATTTGTTTAGCCGATTCCAAATCTTTCATGGCGAAACTCTTGCTTAGTTCTTCCTTGAAAGCAATTATCTTTATGAGATCTTGTCCAATAACTAATACATCGTCAACATAGAGCAGAAGTATAAGAAAACCACCACTTACATACCTTTTTTCTGAAGGCACAATGATCGCTTTCCGTCTTTTTGAAATCATGTTCTGCCATGAAAGAGTCAAACTTTTTATACCATTGCCTTAGAGTTTGCTTAAGCCCGTATAGACTCTTAGTCAGACGTCACACTAGATTTTCTTTACTTGAAACTTTGAATCTCTCAGGCTGCTCCATGTAGATTTCTTTCTCTAGATCGCCATGAAGGAACATTGTCTTGACATCGAGCTGTTCAATCTCCAAATCTTGCATGGCTGCTAAGCCAATGTCCATTTGGATGTATGACATCTTTACCACGGGAGAGAATATTTCTTCAAAGTCTATACTTTTTTCTTGTCCGAATCATTTGACGACCAACCGGGCTTTATAGCGAAGCTTTGAGCTGCTATCTTCGGTTTTGATCCGATACATTCACTTATTCTTCAAGGCTCTTTTCCCTTTTGGTAGATTCACAAGTTCATAAGTATGATTCTCATGCAAGGATTGCATCTCTTCTTGCATGACTCTTCTCCACTCTTTTTTATGATTATCACTAATTGTTTCTTTATAGCTTTGAGACTCTCTCTCATCAGTGAACATAACGTATTCATTTGTACCGAGTGGATGGTCTTTTATCTCTCGAGGATCGTCTCGACTCTGGTGCTATTGAAGAGCTAGATTTAGGCTTTTCCTGAGCTGTAATTTAAAACCAGAAAAATAGGACGTTTGAGACCCTTTGCCATCAGAGAAAACACACTACAATGTAGTTGTAGTTCATCATCGGTTTCATAAGCGAATATTCTCCCTGTGCCTACAGCAGCCACAAAAGATTTTGTGTGAGAAAGATATTCATTAAAACAAGCGAGTTCATTATATAAAACCATCAAATCCCAAATTGTAGAGACACAAGAATAGCAAAGACGCATTCGGGTTCCTAGCAATTGATGTTGAAAATATACTTTCGAGATACCTAGACATCACAAACATATTTGCTAGACCAAAATATATTCTGCTCATAAACACTATTATGAGTAAGAAATAAGTACGGTATCTAGATTATTAATTACAAATATATTGAACAAATTTTTACTATCAGATAAAAGTAGATGTCGAAACACACACATGCAAGCACAAAATGTTACTTTCAAAATAAATCACAAATGGAAGTCATGATGAACAACAAGATGGCAATACTACAAAAAATTTAACATGCCAAATGAAAAACTTTAAAGACCATAGACAGGAAGCCCGAAGCCCTCATCCTAACCCAGTCAGAGCAGGAAACACTTTTTTGCACAGCATACCTTGATCACAGATATTGTTGTATTTGGCAATAGGAGAATTAGTTATCCAACAATGTAATTTTTCAAGTAAAATGCCATCATGCATTTTTAAACAACAACGTTTGTTTCAAACAAAGCTATCACGTGCTCTTAAATAATGGAATACCTTTTTATACAAATCAGTCGCAGATAGCATATAAAAAGACTAGGAATGCTACACATGCAGGCTCTCTCTTTCGCAGAATGGTAGCAACTAGCAAGTAAAACACTCAATCAAATTCTATCTTAAGGTTCTACCTTCAATAAATCAATTTCAAGTCCAACGATAGTGAATGGTAGTGCCATCAAAAAAGCTCTCAACGTTAAGTATGATTAAAGTGATGCATAACTGATATAATCAAGCCAACAAAACTTACTCATCTTTGGCTTCTGAGTTCTAATTGAAATAAACAGTAAAAACTGTAATAATAAAGGGAAAAAACCATGCCTTCCATCTCGCCTTCACCCGAGCTTTTGCTTGGCTTACTTTTCTTAGTCGCTTCCTTAACCTTCTCAATATACCCTTCAATAGGCGGAGTTAAAGATGCCACAAGTCGATATCCCGGAAACGGGGTCAAATCCGGTATCATTGCCGCCTCCTTAAGTTTCTCCGGCAACTCTTCAATTGCCTCCTTTTTCATTCTCAACAAATTAGTCTCAGCAGCCTGCCTAGCCCTACGCTTCCTCATCAAAACCCGACTATACTCCTTGGCCAATCTCCGACCATCCTCCACCGTCAGCTCATATTTGGGTATCTTATCAGCATCGACAAGGCCCAATGTAATCAAATCCAGCCCCGGAGTTCCCATAATCATAGGCTCGTCAGGGACTCCCATCGCCTTTCTTCCTCCTTTCTTCAAAATCTCCATTTCCCGTTGCCGTTCTTTGCTTATTAATCTCATTTTTTTCCTTTTCGGCTTCCCGGGCACGCTCTTTCGGTGTGAGATGACAGACCGGAGTGGGTGCATTGAGGCATTGTTCGTAGAGGAGCGCCGCCTTTGCCCTTTTTAGTGGAGATTTTGGAGCGTTTTAAAGGTTGACCATCTTTGAGCTTGGATTTGCCTTTGGCTGTTCCGCTGACGTTGAAGCGTTGGAGGAATTGGTGAGTCAGAGTTGCTAGAGGTTTTGGGTTTTTGGCGATTCGGATCATGGTGGTTCTGGGGATTATCAAAATTAGCAAAGGAATCAAATTTCCTTTGTTATTGTCAATTTTATAGTTTTGTCAAGTTAATCCTTTAAACCAAAATTTTTCATAATCCAATGCGTCTCTACTCAGGTTTTATGGAATGGGTGCATGTCAGAATTTTTTAGTTCTTATCGAGAGGAATCCGTCAAAGTGATCTATTATTTCCTTAAATTTTTATTTAGTCCATTCAAAATTCAATCAATCGAGGTGTGTGAAAACCGTTTAAAATTTCCTCTAGAGGTCCCGCAATTTCTCACTTATTTTTTTGTTGATTACATGTTTGTTTTTGCTGAGGCTTCTATTGATCAGTTGGGTGCTACTCGGTCGGTGTTAGATGAATCTTGTTGGATTTCTAGGCTCAAAATTAGCATCATCAAGACTGCAATTTTCTTCTCTAGGAATGTCTCCTCCTGTTTGCGTCACAATATTTGATGTGATCATGTCTAGCACCAACTTCCTACAAGACATACTCACATAATTGAAAATCCATCAAAATCAATCTAAGGGAGTTATTCCTTACTTTTTATTATATTTACTCATTTATGCACTATATATTATTATGAGCATACATTTGCATATTAAACTATGCTTGAATAATCATATGTTATCATTCACTTGCATACTATATGATTTTCATGCATAATATATGTTTCCACATCTTTACTTAGCTTTATATTATGTTTTACATATGTTTTAGATTCGTTTATTAAGTTTTCATATCACTTACATATCATGGCAGCATGTATTCATTCATTTATTAGCTCATGTCATGTTATTGTAGCTCATATTATGTTTACATTAGCTCACTAGCCTTAAATCCATGTTTCTTTAGCTCATTTGCATGTATGCATCTCTTTTCTAGCTCATACATGTTTTCTTAAAGATCATGAACGTCCTATTCCTTCTATCTATCTTATATACATGTTATCTTAGCTTCTAAACGATCATTAATAGCTCATATCACTCAAACACCTCACGACAACATGCATTTTACCTTAAATGAGCTCACACATTGCTTACTTTATTTGTTTGTTGATTCCTATAGGTGAAACACAAAACAAGGCATATTATGGTAGCTTGGCCAGCTAAAAGGACAAGCATAGCAATTCACACTAGCTCATGAACGTTATGGCAACTCATATCATCACTTAAGGAGCTTCAACTTAGCTAGAGGAGCTAGCATGTAGCTGAACTTAGCTGGAGGAGAGCTTTGGACCAAATTACTGAAAAATGGACTAAAGGTAGTTGGAAGTAGTTGGGAGAGTAGTTGAGGAGCTGAGAAGACCAAAGCTAACTAGCTTGAGTTCATCAAGATATAGCTCACGTAGTTAGCTACCAAGACACTCACCTAGCTTACCTTGAAGCTAGTTCATCACTAGGCTTCCCATGGACTTCAAGACATCATCCTATGGTTGCAACCTCACCAAAGCATTGTAAGAAGAGCCATGTGCATTCATGTAGGCTGCAATGTGCATCATTCAAGCATGTGCACTCCATGTGACATCAAATAGGCGCCAAAACACCAAGGGATGCTTCTTATTCGGCCAAAGACTCCTTTCTCTTCATTTTGGCTCCGAAATAACTTCCAAATGCATTCAAAACATCCTTAGGCCGAACCAACACCTTACTATTCGACCAAGAGCATGTATCTTCATTAAAATCATGTATTTTCATTAAAAAGTCATGTATTTTCAAAGGGGTTTCATCCATAGCTAAACCATCATGTATGTATTCAGCCTAAACCCTTTGAAAACTATAAATAGACTTTTGCATTTCATTTGTAACACAACCTTTTGGATAATATAAATCTTATGATATTATTCTCTTTTGAATTTCTTTTTAGAACTATATCGATTAATCAAGCTTCTAAAGTTTGTGGCGTCAATCCCTTCCATTGAAACTTTGAGTTCCTAGTTTCCATAACTAGTGGGTTCAAGTCCTTTCATACCATCCCTTATTTTAGTTTATAAAGAACGGGGTTAAACTTCTTATAGTTTTGTTTCCTCTTTAGCTTAATTAAGATACTATCTAACCATCACCATACTCCATCACCTTCACGCCTATATCATCACCATTTCATTCACATTTCTTCATCATTGAATTATCCTTCATTCATCAACAAGGCATACGTCCAGCAACATCATTTGGAGGCCGAATTCATCATCTCTTGAAGGATACTTCTACAACACTTCCGCAGCCTACCTTTGATAACATTTCTTTCCATTTCATTTCTTATTAATTCATTTCTTTCATAATTCTTCTTTCCATTTAATCATTTCTTTCTTTATATTGTGCAGATTACTTATTGATTCAAGTGTAGCATTTGGTGTCTCTCCTAGATCGAGAAACAACAGGGCTGCCAACTTCTCCATCTTTGAAGAAGCTTGGATAACCTTACATCAAGCGGTATTTAGAGCTAAGTTGATTGACAATCAAGTGTTGCAACAAAAAAAAAAGAAAGAAGAAACAAACAAAAAAGAAAAGAAAAAGACTCCTACATCAAATTTGGAGTACAAAAAGAAAGAAAAGAAAAGAAGAAAAGTCAAAGCAAAAGAAAAGTGAAGCAAAGTTGCAAAATACGCTCAAAGAGAAGCCCATTACAATCTACCCAACATTAAACTTGAAGGAGGTATCCTTGTTGTTTCTTGTGAAGGAAGATAATAAGTGTTGAAACTTGAGTTGTAAGTTATCTTCATTTTCTCTTTATTTCATTTATTTTTCTTTTATCCTTTCTTATTTATTACCTTATCTCTTTTAACCATTATATTCTACCTTTACCATATCTTGTACCCTAACCATTTCTATAGCCGACGCAACAAATAAAGAAACTTGCTCAAATATTGAGTTAGTTCTCTAAAGGACCCACAAGAGAGAATTGAGAGGAAAGAGGCAACATAGAGGGTGAGAACAGAAGGGGGTCAGAAAAAAGCCAAGAAACATATCCCGAGTGAAAATACGAGCGCGAGTGGAGTGAAATCTGAATTTTTTTTGGAGTGACAAAATGAGGCTTTGTGAGTGCGCTGTTAAGGTTTTAATTTTTCTTTATTTTCTACTAACAATGTCTTGTAATCTTCCATCTTTCTAAACATTAGAGGACGAACAACAACAAACAAACACATTTCATACTCGTTGCCATGTAAATGGTAAAGTGTGTCTTGTAGCTATTGACGGAGAAAGTTGTACAAATATTGCAAGCACATATATGATCAAAAAGTTGGGACTTACAACGTTCAAACATCCCAGCCCATATGTTTTGCAAGGATTAAATGAAGATGAAGAGTTAGAAGTCATAGAGCAAGTACTTGTGCCATTTTCAATTGGGAGATATGAAGATGAAGTCTTGTGTGATGTTGCTTCCATAAATTCAAGCCATCTTCTTTTCGGTTGACCTTGGCAATTCGACAGACGAGCCATCCATCATGGGTTTACAAACAGATATTCTATCACCCATAATGGTAAGAAACTCATCTTGACTCCATTTATCTCCTAGCCGAGTGAATGAAGATCAAACGCATTTGAAAAGGAGTTTTGAAGAAATGAAAAAGTAACTTAAAGATAATGCAACTGAAGAAGAACATTTGGAGGAAAATTCAAATGAAGAAAAGCTTGAATGTTTGGAGGAAAATTCAAATAAAGAAGAGCTTTTTCAAGTTGAACAAAAGAGAGTGGATGTAGAAGACATTGGACTTGAAAATGAGAGAGTTGAAAATGATGAATTTGGAGATAAAGAGGAAAATGAAGAACATATTTTAACTAACCTTACTCTTTCATCTATTCTTCCTATTGTTTTGCAGGATAATCCAAGAGACATATCACTTCGAGTTGATGATTCAAGAAACATATCTTTTGAAGAACCAATAGGTGTGACCTTTGGTGATCCACAAGATATGTCCTTTGACGTTCCAACATTTATGCCACTTGAAGTTCAAAAAGATGTGTCACTTGAAGTGCCAGAAGTTATGATCATTGCAGCTCCAAGTTCATTACAACTATTGAAGGGAATTCAACAACCAATGGAGTTTACCATCATCAAGCAACCAACTCCCATTAAACATCCACCCTGGTTTGATAGTTTTTCATTTACTAATTTTGATTTATTTTGCAGTAATTCGATTCATGTATATGGTATTATCTTATCAATTTGTGATGGCAAGGTCATTCTAGAATGCCTATTGACGAGACAAAAGATCGAGGATGATTATTTTAACCATGAACTGTAGAATTTTCTTTGATTTGTAGGACGATTCAAATGACAGAATTTTCAAGGGAAAGAGCCAAAAGACATGACTCATAAAGGCTTAATGGACGTGACCCTTCAATAGCATAAAATTGTGAATTTTCATGATCCAATGGACATGTCTTTTAGGATGCCAAGGGACATGATCATTCAAAGCAACATGTCTTCAACAGACATGATTTTTAACCATCCATCAAACACAAACAGGAAGTATAATTTTCAATTATTTGTATTCAATCGTGTTTTTACTTATGAGAGTTATCTTTCTTTTCAGGTCATGTACATTCAAAGAACTTATTCAAAAGACATAACTTATGAAAAGAATATTTTCATAAAGATCCCTGTTGCATCTATTGGATGGAAAGAAACTAAGGAGTAGTCACCTTTCGATTTGAGGACAAATCGCTTAAAAGAAAAGGGGATGATGTGATCCTGTCTAGCACCAACTTCCTACATGACATACTCACATCATTGAAATCCATCAAGATCAATCTAAGGGAGTTGTTCCTTACTTTTTATTATATTTACTCATTTATGCACTATATATTATTATGAGCATACATTTGCATATTAAACTATGCTTGAATAATCATATGTTATCATTCACTTGCATACTATATGATTTTCATGCATAATATATGTTTCCACATCTTTACTTAGCTTTATATTATGTTTTACATATGTTTTAGATTCGTTTATTAAGTTTTCATATCACTTACATATCATGGCAGCATGTATTCATTCATTTATTAGCTCATGTCATGTTATTGTAGCTCATATTATGTTTACATTAGCTCACTAGCCTTAAATCCATGTTTCTTTAGCTCATTTGCATGTATGCATCTCTTTTCTAGCTTATACATGTTTTCTTAAAGATCATGAACGTCCTATTCCTTCTATCTAGCTTATATACATGTTATCTTAGCTTCTAAACGATCATTAATAGCTCATATCACTCAAACACCTCACGACAACATGCATTTTACCTTAAATGAGCTCACACATTGCTTACTTTATTTGTTTGTTGATTCCTATAGGTGAAACACAAAACAAGGCATATTATGGTAGCTTGGCCAGCTAAAAGGACAAGCATAGCAACTCACACTAGCTCATGAACGTTATGGCAACTCATATCATCACTTAAGGAGCTTCAACTTAGCTAGAGGAGCTAGCATGTAGCTGAACTTAGCTGGAGGAGAGCTTTGGACCAAATTACTGAAAAATGGACTAAAGGTAGTTGGAAGTAGTTGGGAGAGTAGTTGAGGAGCTGAGAAGACCAAAGCTAACTAGCTTGAGTTCATCAAGCTATAGCTCACGTAGTTAGCTACCAAGACACTCACCTAGCTTACCTTGAAGCTAGTTCATCACTAGGCTTCCCATGGACTTCAAGACATCATCCTATGGTTGCAACCTCACCAAAGCATTGTAAGAAGAGCCATGTGCATTCATGTAGGCTGCCATGTGCATCATTCAAGCATGTGCACTCCATGTGACATCAAATAGGCGCCAAAACACCAAGGGATGCTTCTTATTCGGCCAAAGACTCCTTTCTCTTCATTTTGGCTCCGAAATAACTTCCAAATGCATTCAAAACATCCTTAGGCCGAACCAACACCTTACTATTCGGCCAAGAGCATGTATCTTCATTAAAATCATGTATTATCATTAAAAATCACGTATTTTCAAAGGGGTTTCATCCATAGCCGAACCATCATGTATCTATTCGGCCTAAACCCTTTGAAAACTATAAATAGACTTTTGCATTTCATTTGTAACACAACCTTTTGGATAATATAAATCTTATGATATTATTCTCTTTTGAATTTCTTTTTAGAACTATATCGATTAATCAAGCTTCTAAAGTTTGTGGCGTCAATCCCTTCCATTGATACTTTGAGTTCCTAGTTTCCATAACTAGTGGGTTCAAGTCCTTTCATACCATCCCTTATTTTAGTTTATAAAGAACGGGGTTAAACTTCTTATAGTTTTGTTTCCTCTTTAGCTTAATTAAGATACTATCTAACCATCACCATACTCCATCACCTTTACGCCTATATCATCACCATTTCATTCACATTTCTTCATCATTGAATTATCCTTCATTCATCAACAAGGCATACGTCCAACAACATCATTTGGGGGCCGAATTCATCATCTCTTGAAGGATACTTCTACAACACTTCCGCAGCCTACCTTTGATAACATTTCTTTCCATTTCATTTCTTATTAATTCATTTCTTTCATAATTCTTCTTTCCATTTAATCATTTCTTTCTTTATATTGTGCAAATTACTTATTGATTCAAGTGTAGCATTTAGTGTCTCTCCTAGATCGGGAAACAACAGGAATGCCAACTTCTCTATCTTTGAAGAAGCTTTGATAGTCTGACATCAATATTAGCAAAGGTTTTGGTTTCACTGAAGTTAAATATCTTGGCAAGTACCTTGGGGTTCCTCTTTTACATCACCGTGTTACTTCAACCTCGTACAACTATTTGGGGCAGGTTATTCAGCGGAGGCTTAGTGGGTGGAAGGCGTGATGCCTACTCTTTGGCGGGTCGTATTACCCTTGCTAAAGCTATTCTTAGTGCAATTCCTACCTATAAAATGCAGACTACTGTTTTTCCTAAGAGCACTTGTTTGAAAGTGGAACGTCTAATTCGTAACTTTATCTGGGGTTCTTCTACGGTTAATAGTGGCACTCACTTGGTGAATTGGGATGATGTTTGTAGATCGATTCATGAGGGGGGCCTAAGATTCCGTAAAATGGTTCCACAAAATGAAGCTTCCCTTCAATTTGCTCACCCGCAAAAATGACCTTTGGGTTAGATTTATTCGATCCAAGTATAAGTGCACAGAGAGTGTCCCATTAAATCTAAAGAACTCAAATTGCTCCCGCCTTTAGACAGGTTTGAGTGTAATTTGGAATGATGTGCGTAACAATATAATTTGGAATATTGGCTCTAGCCGTGAAATTGCTTTTTGGTATGATTCTTGGATTGGTGAGTTTGGTCCTTTAAGCCAGTACGTTAATCCAATTGCTATCTCTCACATTGGTCATGTGTCCATCGCTGACATGGTCGATCCTACGGGAGATCGGTATTGGCATCGCTTTGAGCATTTCCATCCTCGCGAGATACTGCTTCAGATTGCTGCTATTAAGGGGCCGACGTCTGCTCATGCACAAGACACACTGGGTGGCATTGTTCGAATGATTTAAAGTCGGCCTATTCTCTTCGTTATGGGCAACCGTTTATTCACACCAATTCTGTGTGGAAGAATATTCATAATTTTAGGGGTTTGTCTCGGATTAAAAAAAAATTTATGGCTTGTTTGCAGGAAAAAAAGTCATGACTAATGAGGAATTGGTTCATAGACATTTCTCCTCTAACCAGAATTCTAATAATGGTGGAAAGAAAGTGAAACAAAAATCAAACACCGTAATCACATCTCAATCTCATGTTTTGGTTTGAGTATGTTTTCTTAATTATAGTCAGATCAATGTTCTATGCATGTTACAATGCCACCACTAATGTTGTCGCTAATTTCCTACAAACTCAAGACGCATGCGGTCCACTCGGTGGTGTCGACGGTGCCGTAGGTGTCTGCCGGTTGGAAGTCTCGTCATCCGGTTGACCATCTGGGCTATCTGGTGATGGTACGGATTCTTGGGGAACTACCCCAACATACTGTTGGATCACCAGCACCGATATGGTCGTAGCAAAATCTGATGAGGCTAGAATATCCCCGATTACACCGAGCTCCGGACACTCGCTCCAGTCGGTAAGTCCGGCCGTGATCGGTGATGTCATTCCTTGCCCTCTTCCAACAATGAATAAGTCATGGTGGATGTCTAATGACCTTATGACGGAAACCGTTTGCTCCCCATTGTTGACTACTTGTTCAGTGTATACAACCATCTCATTGTTTGCATTTTTCATCCTGAAATCATTTACGTAGTCGTCGTCGAGCTGCTTTTCATCAGCGGTATCAGTTTCTATCGTTAGCATAGGTGGATCAATTTGATCGGTGGTTAGAGGCGGCGGCTGCATTGTAGCGCTAAGTGATTCCTCACCGGCGATAAATCGCAGCACGGTGACTCTAACGCCTGGATTTTCACACATCCTCAATCCATATGCAAGTGCTTCTCGATCATCTGGACCACCAAAGAACAGCACCACCACATGGTGCGCCACTTCGTTCTCCGTCACACGGGCTATCGTGCTCAGGCCTCTATCGACTAAAATCCCGACGGAGCAAGGTGCATTCGCCAGTAAGTTCTGGTTAACCGTTCGGAATGCCGGGTTCGTTACTTCCATCCCTCCATCAACCGTTTGTTGCTTGTGGAAAGGGATGATTATAAGTGCAACACGTTTGTCCTCGGCCAGCCCACAAATGTCTTCATGCATGGAGGAGTAAGGGGAAATGGCTGTGAGAGGCTGAACAGAGATGAAACTCAAATTCTGCTCGAAGTTTTCGAAAGCGTGGATTATGTGATCGGATTGAGCTTGAGTTCGGTTTAAAGCCGGTCGGCCGGATTGACGAGTGTTATGGACAATGAGCATTGCCGATGCACGACCAGTGAGTTCGACAAGATGGAGGACGTAAACACATAAAGGAGACTTTTTCGCGGGATGAGAGGCTTCAAGTAAGTTGATTATTGTTGGGACATGACGAGGGGTGTGGACGCAGGTCAGCACTCGTAGCTCACCTTCAGGTTTTGATATTTGAATCGTCCGACGTTTGTACGGTGCAAACCTCCTCGTCTGCCGATAAATCACGGCTACAATGGGAGAGATGATGGCGGTCATAATCAGAGCTACAATCACCATGATTGCAAACGCCTCATCGTCTAAGACCTGCTGATCTTTGCCAACGTTGAGTACAATCATTTCAATGAGGCCTTTGGTGTTCATTAGTAAACCAAGTATAAACCCTTCACTATGTGGGATATTGTAAAACGTTGTGACAAGCATAGTTCCTCCTATCTTACCGGCACACGAAAGGATGATTACAACAAACATAATCCCCCATGTCTGTCCTTCTCTGATCGACGTCACATCGGTCTTCAGGCCGCTAATGGCGAAGAAGAGCGGCAGTAAAAGTCCCGACACAAAATCCTCTAGCTTTTCTATCAGAGTAACTCCAAGTGGTCCGTTGGGGATGATGAGACCGAACACAAACGCTCCGAAAACTGAATGTGTCCCAATGGCATCTGTAATGAACGCTGAGATCATAACCCCTGTAAGAATGAAACATATGTATAAATCACTGAATGATTCTCCTTCTGGGGTTCTCCGAATCATCCATGAAATTGCAGGCCTGACGAAAAGAATACAAATTACTACAAAAGCTGCACTCGAAAGAAGCACCCAAAGGGAAGCCAAGGAGGATGGATCGTTCTCCGCCAAGGCAATGGCTACAGCTAAAAGAATCCATGCGCACATGTCGTTGATAAGAGCTGAAGACAAGGCCAATCTGCCCAATTCCGAGTTAATTAGCTTCAGCTCCGCTAGGATTCGAGCAAGCACTGGGAATGCCGTGACCGAGAGAGCAACTCCTAAGAACAGAACGTAGGTGACATGAGCAAGGGGTTCGGGGTCCGAGCTATGGAGAACGAAAGAGAAACCGATGCCGATTATGAACGGCATGATCATGCCTGCGACCGCAATGGCAAGAGCTTTCTTCCCCGTTTGACGAATCACCGAAAGGTCCATCTCGACACCGACGAGGAAGAGGTAGTAAAGAAGACCGATATTCGCCATTGTTTCAAGCACCATAACACTCCTCAATGGAAACATTGTATTGGCAAAGTTTTCGCTTCGTCCTAGCGCCGTTGGACCTAACAACGCTCCTCCCTGTTCAGATAGCAAAACAACCATTAATCAACACAGTCTGCAATCATGATAACAAATGCATAATTAGAGTAAATTATTAACTCACGAGAATCTCAGAAACCACTCGTGGTTGGCGTAGTGGTTTGAGGATGTAATCAAAGAAGCGAGTGCTGACAACGACAAGGGTCATCTGCAAGATGAAGAGAGGAAGCGAATAATCCAAAGGGTTATCGCCTTGCCATACACCATTTGTAGTTATCATGGTGGGTGCATAGCAAACCACCGTATCATCTGATTTGTTCCCCACCGTTTCCATTGTTATATATTTATGTTTCGCCTTCTAAAACACCTTCTCCTTCAATTCATATATATATATATATAACCTAATCTACCACTACCATTTGCACTTTTACTCCGGCCGATCCCCCTACACTTTTTACAACACTAAACTCTCATACACCATTCATTTTTCTTGTTCATGTTCATGTCGGAACTTTAATTTCCTTGTTTTAGCAGATTAACAAAAACAAAAATAAATGACACAATATCATAGATACTATTATTATTGTGTAGTCCTAAATTTTCTTGTTTGTTAATTGCAAAGGAGGAACAAGGTTGAGGAGGGAAACTAGGATGATTTTGGTGGTTGTCCGTCCTATTTGGTACAATGTCTATCTTCTACGGTCCACAAGTCACATTTGGTGCAAAATTAGTTAAAATTTTAAGCCTTTCAATGGTCAGAAATTCAACTTAATTTCCTGTGTAGTTAATGTTCTCAAAACATATGCCTAGCATGGATTTTGAAGACATCATGCTAGCATAAATTTTGTTTGATCCACGTGCATGAAAGATTTTCTAAAAGTTAAAAAGATTACACTACGTCTAATTAAAATACATAAAATTTAGATGTTGTTTAATAAATTAAAGTGTTTTTTTTAAATGAATAAATTAAATTGTTAAATATATTAAAAGATGATAATTTGATACTAAATCTTTTGGTTTTGATAGTTTTTAACACACACCCTCTAATTCACATTATTTTGTTGGAGAAATTATTATTAAATTTTATAATTAATTTTTTATTTCTAAAGGGAAGGGACTGATTGTTTGACTTTGAACTATGAACAAATGTGAATCGATATTTTTTTTATTAGTATAATATATATATTCAAAGGTTCTCAATAATTTGTCATTAAACCCTCATATCCCATTGCATATGTGATGTTCAAACATGAACATCAAGGAAAAGTTATAGATTTCTTTATCCCCATGAATTAGGTAAATATGTTGGGCTAAGAATAGGTATAAATTGTAATTCTCATAATGGCTCATGGACATGTGCCAATATTAAGATAAACCCAAAACATATACCCTATAGACAAATTCGGTTCCGACTAGTCTGTTATAATAATAAGTTATAATCGCGGTGATGCAACTGCGAGATCGTAGTTGTAGATTTTCCGAACGTTATGGTTTGATTTGTTTTTAATAATCAAATTATTATACTTTTAAATTGTGAATGTGATTATAATAATATTAAAAAGCGTTATGATGTTGTTATTAAACTGTGCTACGATCCTAATATAATACTAACCAAACTGGTTGGAATAGTTGGTCGATCTTGACTCCAACAAACTGATATAAGTGTGGGTGAAAATAAGGATCAATAAATAAATAGGTTAAAATCTGTGATTTTGGGTTCAAGCACGAGAAATGCTCGAGATATAAACATTTATTATTAAATGATTAAGAGTTATCTTTAAATAGATGTTTCCTTCACGTAAAATGTGTTTAACCAGTTCAACTCAACCTTCCTGAACCATCAAGAGGCAGTCATTTAAGAGAGTTACTACTGGATGTTCATCTTCAAAGGGACGTTGCAGTAGCCGCACGCCTGCACCACTAGAACCACATCCACAATCACCTGTTGTAAATCCAACTCCTTGACTATATGCACGGGGATGGACTAAGGAGAATAGATGAGATAGTCATATTTTATATATTCTATTAATTATCCATGTTGATCTCCTAAAATTTTATAAATTCATACCTCTAATATAAAATCTTGGGTCGACCATCCTATTAGGTTATCCATATTGTCAATGGAGATTTCTGCCTTTGGAACTTGGTCTCTTGGGGGCCTTGGAAGGCTATTTCTGTTGCAAGGGGAGAAAGAAAGATGTCTATGGAGCGAACGAAACTATGTATAGATATGCATATTACATAATTTCTTAACTTTACTGATTAATATATTAAATAAATGATTTTACAAAGCATTTAGTTTTAGTAATATATACAATATGAAAACAGAAAAACTAGTTATAAAACTAGCTAATTGTATTCAAAAGATCAGTTGAGAGGAAGATATATCATCAAGATCATCATCATCATCCAATGACAAGAACATTTCATCAAGGCATGACAGATCACTTCCATCTTCATCACTGTAGCTGAAGCTCTGAGCGTTGCCCTTATTCTCTTCAACTTTACACAGAACCCATTTACTACAATCCTACATATTAACAAACACAACATAATTTCCTAAATAATCAAACTTATTAGATAAGACAGTTTACTTACCACTTTCTTGTTTCCTTGTGTTTTATAGTAGTGTGATGTAAGATGGTATTCTTGCATCAGCCAATTTGTTTTAATGCCAAACGGAGCTTCACCCATGAAGAATCCATGGGGTTTCTTTACCCCAACCTTCTTCCCTGAACCAGAACTGAAGATTGGCTGCTCAAAATCCAGTTTTTTCCAATACCCTTTTTCCAGGACTAGATTCTCCATCGTTTGGCTGAAGAAGAAGTACCGTTTTCCACTCAACAACGCCTTCCCTATTCAACCAACAAACCCATTTCATCACTGAGAAAAAACGTTAACCATAAAACAACCATAATAACAATACGAGAACGAGAGAAAAGCTGACCATCTAATTCCCAGGGGTGAAGCAGATGAAGATCAAGCTCGGGAATGATGTTGGGATAGCAAGGCAATAGCGAGGACTTGGGGTAGAGAAAGTGAAGAACAAGTTCTTCGTCGGTAGGGCAAAACCGGAAGCCTGGAGGGAGCTGGTTGACGATCAGGCAGCCGTCTTCCATTTCCGTGGCTGTTAACAGTAATTAATCTATACGAAGATTAAGCAGAAATACTAATTTGGGGATTGTTGGTAGCTATGGCTAGTTTTCTTTACCTTTTAGAGGCCATGTTTCCTGAATATTTATAAAGCTGGAAATAGATGACGATGATTCAGGAGCAGTTGAATCGATAAAAAGGCGGTTGTAAAGGAAAAAAAGGAAAATAAATAATATATGTTATGGGATGGAGTCCGAAAGAAATGGACAACATTGTAGGATTACTGGTTTTTTTAAGGAAAACAATTGGAATTTCCGTAGTTGGTATTTGAATATTAGAATATTTATTGTATGGAGTAGTAGTTTATCACATATTGTGCTTCATCTACAAGTTGTTTCGATCTCTGGAATATTATAGATTATTATTTTATGGTGTATTTTTTAATATAATTCATTTATATTATAAAATATGATAATTAAATAATCAAAAAATATAATTCAACAACTCAAAAGATAAAAGATTCAAATAAATGTCACTGTAGACAGTAAAATATAAATACCGTCTACACTAATATAACAATAGAATATGATAATACATTGACAACTGACTTTATCGAAATTATTTTGTGGTGATTCGAAAAAAAATTGAGTCTTTAAAGTTTTGTCAAAAGCTTGATTCTGGCTGAATAGGTAAGCTCTCTTTGATCTCCACCCCAAGTAGCTCACCGATCTAAGCATAAAACCCTACAAAAATAAAAACACAACATACCAAGATGAGAAAATCAGTTTGAGAATCTAAAATAAAAGTAGATCAATCAACGAAATATTTTTTTTGAAGGGGTGGTTACATATACTTTAAAATAAGAGAAACATAAAAAAAATTGGACACACTGGAGGGCCTCATTAAAAAACCTCCCTAGAACCTATTTGGAGGAAAACAAATATGTCTTCATGTGTAAAAAAACACGTAATATTGACCCCGACCTTATTGGGACTACACAATTACAGTCGAATACAAATTAAAACACAAGTTGAAACCAACCAATTAAATACAATGACTGAAATAAACTAAGACATTAGGCCACTTTAGGGACACAAGCCAGCCCAAGCAACTGATCTGAACCAAAAAGTTGATGCATTCAATACCACCTAGATAAAACTTACATACCTCGGTTCAAGAAAAAATACAACCAAAACAGAAGGAAAATTATGAAAAAGCAGCCACCATCAACAGCCAACCAAAATAAGAGATCAACCAACGAAACTAGAGTGACCATTACCTCGACAAACTCACACGAGACTAGGACAACAACAACAACAATCGAATTTCATTGAATCGTAGACGAAAAGAACTATACATACACTAATGAATGGTAAAGTCACGAGATCATTTATCCAATATAAAGATTCATGGCTCCTACTGCCGGACAAATGAAGAAATTGAGAATCGAGAGATAAATTTTTTGCCAGTTACACTTGCACCAAAACTCAATCCTAGATAAAACAAGATTATTGATGCAGGGAGATCCGAGACAGATGATGCTGAGCTGTCAGATTGCACGTTGATGGCGCTGAGATACCATGAGTTGGCAGATCAGCGCAAAGGCGGGAATTGATTGTGACATGTTCCTCATTGGGGTCGTTTTGAGTATGTTTCAGTCTTTTGGCCATAACTTTGGCTACAGGTGTCAGAATCGCGCATAAGACCCCAATCCGGAAAGCTCTTTTCGACGCGCACGCTCTCCACATTGAGCCATGCTCCATGTGGCCTTTTTTTCAACCTCAAATTCTGCCGTTTTCCCCTCCGAATCACTAGATTTAGTTATTTTTTACTATTTATGGTAATATTTCGATTGTTAATTAGGAAGTCAATTTAAATCCGATTTAGGCCGGATTTTTGGGAGATTGCTTATTTTATTTCGAATTTTAATTTAGAGTGATTTTCGGGATTTTGCTATTTTTGGCAAAATTCTAATAAAGACGATTTTTGGCTATAACAGTCCGGCTTGTGGACTGCTTTTTGGGTATTATTGATTTTATAATATTTTATTAAACCCTAGAGACTTTTTTTTCTCTGGTTTTTGGGCGAATTTTCTCTTGTGAATCGTCTGTCGGAGCTAGCCTACAGGATAATCACTATTCTGTCTGGCGTCAGTTGGTATCAGAGCTTCAACATCTTCTTGGGAAATTTCACCAGTTTCAATGGCTGGAGGTCGTGGTCGTGGTCGTCGTGAGCAGGTTC